CCAATTGTTTTCTTGGTGACTATGGTCCCAGCTGCCTTGAGATCATTGAAGATCCTCCCGTGTAGTTCTGGGCTGATTCCTCACCGTTCTCATGATCATTGCAACTCCACGAGATGAGATCTTGCATGGAGCCCCAGGCCAAGGGAGATTGACAGTTCTTTTGTGTTTTATCCATTTGCGAATAATCACACCAACTGTTGTCACCTTCTCACCAAGCTGCTTGGCGATGGTCTTGTAGCCCATTCCAGCCTTGTGTAGGTCTACAATCTTGTCCCTGACATCCTTGGAGAGCTCTTTGGTCTTGGCCATGGTGGAGAGTTTGGAATCTGATTGATTGATTGCTTCTGTGGACAGGTGTCTTTTATACAGGTAACAAGCTGAGATTAGGAGCACTTCCTTTAAGAGTGTGCTCCTAATCTCAGCTCGTTACCTGTATAAAAGACACCTGGGAGCCAGAAATCTATCTGATTGAGAGGGGGTCAAATACTTATTTCCCTCATTAAAATGCAAATAAATTTATAACATTTTTGACATGCGCTTTTCTGGATTTTTTTGTTGTTATTTTGTCTCTCACTGTTCAAATAAACCTACCATTAAAATTATAGACTGATCATTTCTTTGTCAGTGGGCAAACGTACAAAATCAGCAGGGGATGAAATACTTTTTTCCCTCACTGTATAATTCAACCTTACTGACTGTGTGTATGTACGTATGCATGGACAGTTGAAGTCGGAAGTTTATATACACTTAGGTTGGAGTCATTAAAACTTGTTTACTCCACAAATTTCTTGTTAACAAACTATAGTTTTGGCAAGTCAGTTAGGACATCTACTTTGTGCATAACACAAGTAATTTTTCCAACAATTGTTTACAGACTACAGATTATTTCACGTATAATTCACTGTATCACAATTCCAGTGGGTCAGAAGTTTACATACACTAAGTTGACTGTGCCTTTAAACAGCTTGGAAAATTCCAGAAAATGATGTCATGGCGTTAGAAGCTTCTGATTGGCTAATTTACATCATTTGAGTGAATTGGAGGTGTACCTGTGGATGTATTTCAAGGCCTACCTTCAAACTCAGTGCCTCTTTGCTTGACATCATGGGAAAATCAAAATAAATCAGCCAAGACCTCCGAAAAAAAAATGGTAGACCTCCACAAGTCTGGTTCATCCTTGGGAGCAATTTCCAAACGCCTGAAGGTACCACGTTCATCTGTACAAACAATAGTACGAAAGTATAAACACCATGGGACCACGCAGCCGTCATACCGCTCAGGAAGGAGACGCGTTCTGTCTCCTTGAGATGTACGTACTTTGGTGCAAAAAGTGCAAATCAATCCCAGAACAACAGCAAAGGACCTTGTGAAGATGCTGGAGGGAACAGGTACAAAAGTATCAATATCCACAGTAAAACGAGTCCTATATCGACATAACCTGAAAGGCCGCTCAGCAAGGAAGAAGCCACTGCTCCAAAACCGCCATAGAAAAGCCAGAATATGGTTTACAACTGCACATGTGGACAAAGATTATACTTTTTGGAGAAATGTCCTCTGGTCTGATGAAACAAAAATAGAACTGTTTGGCCATAATGACCATCATTATATTTAAAGGAAAAAGGGGGCTGCTTGCAAGCCGACGAACAACATCCCAACCGTGAAACACGGGGGTGGCAGCATCATGCTGTGGGGGTGCTTTGCTGCAGGAGTGACTGATGCACTTCACAAAATAGATGGCATCATGAGGAAGGAAAATTATGTGGATATATTGAAGCAACATCTCAAGACATCAGTCAGGAAGTTAAAGCTTGGTCGCAAATGGCTGTTCCAAATGGACAATGTCCCCAAGCATACTTCCAATGTTTTGGCAAAATGGTTTAAGGACAACAAAGTCAAGGTATTGGAGTGGCTATCACAAAGCCCTGACCTCAATCCTATAGAAAATGTGTGGGCAGAACTGAAAAGGCGTGTGCGAGCAAGGAGGCCTACAAACCTGACTCGGTTACACCAGCTCTGTCAGGAGGAATGGGCCAAAATTCACCCAATTTATTGTGGGAAGCTTGTGGAAGGCTACCCGAAACGTTTGACCCAACTTAAACAATTTAAAGGTAATGCTACCAAATACTAATTGAGTGTATGTAAACTTCTGACCCACTGGGAATGTGATGAAATAAATAAAAGCTGAAATAAATCATTCTCTCTACTATTATTCTGACATTTCACATTCTTAAAATAAAGTGGTGATCCTAACTGACCTAAGACACGGAATTCTTACTAGGATTAAATGTCAGGAATTGTGAAAAACTGAGTTTAAATGTATTTGGCTAAGGTGTACGTAAACTTCCGACTTCAACTGTACATATTACCACAATTACCTCGACTAACCAGTGCCCCCGCACATTGACTCGATACCGGTACCCCCTGTATATAGCCTCGTTATTGTTATTTTTACTGCTGCTCTTTAATTATTTGTTACTTTTATTTCGTATTATTTTATATTGTATTTTTATTTTTTTGGTATTCTTTCTTAAAACTGCATTGTTGGTTAAGGGCTTGTAAGTAAGCATTTCACTGTAAAGTCTACACCTGTTGTATTCGGCGCATGTGACATATAGAATTTGAATTGATTTGGTATTTTACCAAATAGGGCTATCTTCTGTATACCCACCCTACCTTGTCACAACACAACTGATTGGCTCAAACGCATTAAGAAGCAAAGAAATTCCACAAATTAACTTTTAACAAGGCACACCTGTTAATTGAAATGCATTCCAGGTGACTACCTCATGAAGCTGCTTGAGAGAATGCCAAGAGTGTGCAAAGATGTCATCAAGGCAAAGGGTGGCTATTTGAAGAATCTCAAATGTAAAATATATTTTGATTGGTTTTAACACTTTTTTGGTTACTACATGATTCCATATGTGTTATTTAATAGTTTTGATGTCTTCACTATTATTCTACAATGTAGAAAATAGTACAAATAAAGAAAAACCCTTGAATGAGTAGGTGTGTCCAAACTTTTGACTGGTACTATATATATATATATATATATAGATTGCCAATTTGCCCTCCATTCTCATATATTAGTTATAGCATTACTACTCATATACAGTACAGCCGTACAGCATAGCTTAATAACTACAGAGGGGTCCATTCTTTCTGAATGGTTAGATACTGTAATAAGGTTCCCCCATAGAGTGCTGCCCACATATTGTGGACCATCCACCCTTAGAGAGTTGTAAAATTATGCAATAGTTTGAAGACAGTGTATGGTGTTCTTATACAGTGCCTTCAGAAAGTATTTGTACTCCTTGACTAATTCCACATTTTGTTGTGTTATAGCCTGAATTCAAACTTGATTAAATATATATTTTTTACACACACAATCTACACACAATGCTCCATAATGACAAAGTGAAAACATGTTTTTAGAAATGTTTGCTAATTTCTTGAAAATGAAATACAGAAATATATAATTTACATAAGTATTCACACCCCTTTGCTATGACATTCCAAATTGTGCTCCGGTGCATCCGATTTCCTTTGGTCATCCTTGAGATGTCAATATAACTTGATTGAAGTCCACCTATGGCCAATTCAATTGTTTGAATATGATTTTGCAAGAAACACACCTGTCTATATATGGTCCCACAGTTGACAGAGTCAGAGTAGAAACTATACCAAGTCCAAGGAACTGTCCTTAGATCTCCGAGATAGAATTGTGATGAGGCATATATCTGGGTAAGGGTATAAAACAATTTGTTGTGTGTTGAAAGTTTCCAAGAGCACAGTGGTCTCCATCAATGAGAAACAGAAAAAATATGGAACTCCCCAGCTCCTCTGCATAGAGCTGGCCGTTCGATCAAACTGAGCAACTGGGCAAGAAGGACCTTGGTCATGGAGGTGACCAAGAAAACCAATGACCACTGACAGAACTACAGATTTCCTTGGCTGAGATGGGAGAACCTACCAGAAGGATAACAGTCTCTACAGCACTACACCAATCTGGGCTTTATGGTAGAGTGGCCAGATGGAAGCCTTTCTTGAGAAAAAGTCACATGACAGCATGCCTGGAGTTTGCAAAAAGACATGTGAACGACAGAGCATAACGCAAAATATTATGTGGTTTGATGAGACAAAGAATGAACTCTATGGTCTGAAATCAAAGCGCTGTCGGGAGAAAACCAGGCACAGCTCATCACCCGTCTAACACCATCCCTAATGTGAAGCATGGTGGTGGCAGATTCATGCTATGGGGATGCTTTTCAGCGGCAGGGACTGGGAGACTGGTAAGGATAGAGCGAACAATGAATGGAGCCAAATACAGGCAAATTCTTGATATGAAGCTGCTTCAGAGTGCAAACAACCTTAGATTGGGGCGAAGATTTACGTCCCAACAGGACAATGACCCCAAGCATACAGCCAAAGCAATGATGGAATGGCTTCAGAACAAGAATGTGAAAGTCCTTGAGTGGCCCAGCCAAAGCCCAGACTTGAATCCCATTGAAAATCGGTGGAAAGACTTGAAGATTGTTGCTCACGCCACTCCCCATCTAACTTAACAGAGCTTGAGAAGATCTACAAAGAACGGGAGAAAATCCCCAAATCCAAATGTGCAAAGCTGATACAGACATACCCAAAAGACTCACAGCTGTAATAACCACCAAAGGTGCTTCTACAATGTTTTGACGCAAGGATGTGAATACTTACGTAAATAGAATATTTCTGTATTTCATTTTCAATAAATTAGCAGACATTTCTAAAAACATGTTTTCACTTTGTCATTATGGGATATTGTGTGTAGATGGGTGAGAAAAATATATATTTAATCCATTTTGAATTCAGGCTGTAATACAACAAAATGTGGAATAAGTCAAAGGGTAGGAATACTTTCTGAAGGCAGTTACTTCAATTGTTACTGATTGTTGTAAAATCGATCAGCCTTATTGACGGATTCATTCTGACTGGTTGTAATTGGTTCTGACTAGCTCGGACTGGTTCTAACTAGTTTTTCCTTCCTCCAGTCTTGTGGTGTTACCGGAGAGGCTGGCCCAGGTGCGGTTGATGTCCCTGAGGGCCTGCTTCTCGGCAATGGCCCTCTTGATCTCGTCCAGCACCAGGTTGAGCTCTTTGGAGCGCTTCAGGTTCTCCTGCTCGGCAGAGTGCAGACGCTCCCTCAGGCCCAGAAACTCCCGCTGGTAAATGTCCACCACATCACCTACAGAGAGAGAGAGGAGAGAGAGAGGTTTGTGAAAGTCTTAAGTGTTATCTTGAGTCTTAATTACTTTCTTCTTTGATTTGCTATTTTGCATAGTATTACATGTTTTCAACTGCTTGAAGGGCAATACATTAATTGCTCGTTTCATGCCAATAAAGCATGTTCACATTTTTATTTGAGAGGGGGAGAGGGAGAGAGAGAGAAGAATAATAAAGAGACAGACAGACAGAGAGAGGAAGACATGAGAGCAAGAGGGAAGAAAGAGAGGTGCGTTACAGAGGGACACAGTTTGAGAGTCATTTAACACAAACAGTCATTTGAGAGTCATTTGTCACCTTACAGCATCTTTACATGGTCTTTATGAGGTACACAGAGAGAACAGATACAGCACATACGTAGTCCGTCCTTGGTGACTTTATGCAGCATTTAAAGGAGTGTTTTACCGCGGTCTGCGTGGAGCACTTTTCAAGTCATTACCCCTCTTAACAGCTTGATCAATACACACTATACTCTGGACTGATATGCATCGATCCTAGTGGATGAATCACCTCTCTGAACCCATAGATTGTTGGACGAAATCGACAGTAGCCTGGTCCCAGATCTGTTTGTGCAGTCTTGCCAACTCCTATGGTCATTGGCCATAGGAGTTGGCAAGACAGAACACACAGATCTGGGACCAGGCTAAAGTGACAGGAGCTCTGGGCTAGATAAACAAAGCTAGACATGTTCCTGTAGTCTGTATGACACAACGCTAATGTAGAATGGTAACAACTCCGTCACAAGGCTAGTGTAATGTGTTGTAACTATGACTTAACCATGCATCTATTGCTTAACAGGAATATATTTATACTGGGAATCTTGTGTGCATAACATACAGTACATTGTAGGTCTAATACTGTATATCTATTATAGAAAATGTATATCTAGGTATGTATTATAGAGTTCTCTACACAACTGTATTATGAATATCACATTATAAATACTTGATAGGCATCTTGTGAGCTTTAAGTAATATAAATCCACTAGGAACAGGACAGAGATTGTCAGAGCTACTGTATAAAGCTTGAACCAATACTAATACTATGAATAACAAAATATGTGCATGTACAGTACCAGTCAAAAGTTTGGACACACCTACTCATTCAAGCGTTTTTCTTTATTTTTTACTATTTTCTACATTGTAGAATAATAGTGAAGACATCAAAACTATTAAATAACACATATGGAATCATGTAGTAACCAAAAAAGTGTTAAACAAATCAAAATATATTTTATATTGTAGATTCTTCAAAGTAGCCACCCTTTACCTTTATGACAGCTTTGCACACTCTTGGCATTCTCTCAACCAGCTTCATGCGGAATGCTTTTCCAACAGTCTTGAAGGAGTTCCCACATATGCTGAGCACTTGTTGGCTGCTTTTCCTTCACTCTGCGGTCCAACTCATCCCAAACCATCTCAATTGGGTTGATGTCAGGTGATTGTGGAGGCCAGGTCATCTGATGCAGCACTCCATCACTCTCCTTCTCCTTCTTGGTCAAATAGCCCTTACACAGCCTGGAGGTGTATTTTGGGTCATTGTACTGTTAAAAAACAAATGATAGTCCCGCTAAGCCCAAATCAGATGGGATGGCGTATCGCTGCAGAATGCTGTGGTAGCCATGCTGGTTAAGCGTGCCTTGAATTCTAAATCGATCACCGACAGTGTCACCAGCAAAGCACCCCCACACCATCACACCTCCTCCTCCATGCTTCACGGTGGGGAACACACATGCATAGATCATCCGTTCACCTAATCTGCGTCTCACAAAGACACAGCAGTTGGAACCAAACATCTCAAATTTGGACTCATCAGACCAAAGGACAGATTTCCACCGGTCTAATGTCCATTGCTCGAGTTTCTTGGCCGAAGCAAGTCTCTACTTCTTATTGGTGTCCTTTAGTAGTGGTTTATTTGCAGCAATTCAACCATGAAGGCCTGATTCACAGTCTAATAGGGTAATCTTCTGTATACCACCCCTACCTTGTCACAACACAACTGATTGGCTCAAACGCATTAAGAAGGAAAGCAATTCCACAAATTAACTTTTAACAAGGCATTGTTAAAAGCTCAATGGAACATGTACAGGTTTTTCCCCTTGTTGGCTCAGGGATTCGAACCAGCAACCTTTCAGTCACTGGCCCAATGCTCTAAACGCTAGGCTATCTGCTGCCCATTTGGGACACAGAGCAGGTATTTCCAGGTCACTGACCCCTCTCTAAGCTGCTCTGACTGATATTCCTCCCCATCTCCATTCCTCTTTTCATTCTTCCTCTTCCCACTGCTCTCCAGTAAAAGAGGAGAGAAAAACACTGTCCCTAGATTTGTGTTTCACGGGATTATACTTATACGGATACACAAACACTGCAGACCTACTTGCACACATACACGCATTCACGCATTCACACACACACACACACACACACACACACACACACACACACACACATAAGCACATTCCAATGCATGGATACACAGCGTGGGACATGATAATAATACATTTAATTTGTATAGCACTTTTCATTACGGAGTTATCTCAAAGCTCTACTGAGGGAAAAAATACATGCACACACACACACCTTGGGATGTACACACACACACACACACGGGACACGCACACACATGCATAAGGGCACACACACAGCTCTGGACATCGTGTCACATCGAAGCAGGTGGGAGCGAGTTCAGAATAAAGCGAAATCCCAGGAAACACATGGGACTCCTGAACCCAAATCCCCGGTGTAATCCCTGATAGCACCTAGCCTTGAAACACAAATCATTAGCGTTATAGCAACCCAGGACTAGAGATGGATACATCTGACAGCAGGCACTTTTAATATTGCATAACTGGAAAGGTAGAAAGGTGAAAAGGTACAAAGACAATGCAATATCTACTGAGAGCATCTGGAATAAAGCTAATCCGAAATCCAACAAGGGTAGCACTTTATAATAACACCTTGTAATAAAGCATTTATAATGCATTAGTATAGTGGTTCCCAACCTTTTTCACTTACTGTACCACCAGCTGAATTTTGCTATGCCTGGAGTACCCCTGAAGTATCCCCTCATGTGCATTTTACCAGTAGGCCTGACTTTTCTCAAGTACCCCCTGTGGATAGGCCAAGTACCCCCAGGGGTCCTAGGGAACCACTGGATTAGTAAATAGTTTATTCATCATTTAAGCTAGTTTTGCACACATTCATGAACAACTTTTTTAAAGTATGTAATAATGACTCATAAAATCGTAGATATTCCAGCAGTCTCCAGCAGTCTTACGGTCTCAAAATGGTCTAGATCAAGCAGATTTTTAAGGAAATATATTTAACATGTTAATCCAAAACAGTCACACTGTTGTAATAGTGTGATGTGTAACTTCAGACACTGTATGCTGAGTAAAGTAACATTTTTGGTCTGAAAAGGCTAACATTAGCGTTTGTTGGCAGTGGCTTTTCTACCAAAACCAAAGTGTGGATTGCAGTGAATCCTTAGAGCAGTCCATAGACTGCTTAAGACGAAAGGAAACAAATATCTGAATTCATAATTCTGCTGAACTAACCCATTATGTTTAAAGGGTTACTACCTTAAAGGCCCAGTAAAAGTGGCTAGAAACAAAGCCAAGTGTGAAAATAGTCTGCGGTTAAAAGACTGAAGCACTGGAGACAAGTTGTCATATTTCTACCTGCAAATCATACATGTAACATTTCTAGTAATGAAGGAACACAAATCCACTAGAGAAAAACTGTCCGGTCTGGCCAGCTGTTGTGTGTAGGCTACATCTCCCTGTTTTATGATAAGTTCATGTTTGCGAGGTTGACAACATTAGCAAAACATTTGTATTAAAACTCTTCCTCATGTTCTTGCAACAGTTGTTTTACAACAGTTTTTGTGAATAAAATGTTAATAAATATGTCCTTAAACATCCTGTGTTGTGTGCTTATTCTTTTACCATTGATACAGTATGTTCTAGGCCAGGGGTATTCAACTCTTACATCACGAGGTTCGGAGCCTGCTGGCTTTCTGTTCTACCTGATAATTCATTGCACACACCTGGTGTCCCAGGTCTAAAGCAGTCCCTGATTAGAGGGGAACCCTGAAAAAATGCAGTGGAAATGGCTTCAAGGTCCAGAGTTGAGTTTGAGGGTTCTAGGCTATTATGAGACCTTAAAGGAAAAAAACTATCTTTTGGCATTTGTTTAATTAGTCCACTGTTGATACAGTCCCAAACTGTATGTGCTTTGATTGAAACAAAACACTGGTATGTTATAGTTTTAACACCATCTGCCCTAAAAAGCGTTCAAATTAATTCAAAACACTATAGGCTACATAACTCAAGAAGATCTTGCATACCCCCCTGAAACTGATTGAGATCAAATGGTTGGCATGCAGTTGCTGCATGGACGTTTCACCGGTAAAACTTCACGATTGACAGTGAGAAATGTGATGGGAGGGTGACCGCAAAAATGGGTGCGTAAAGTAGAGGTAAAGAAACACATGCCCAGAACGTGATTCGGATCTTCAGCTCTGGGGAAAAGAAATCCAGGGGGGCGGGACGTGGGCAGGAAATGGCCTTTCAGGAATGGTGTCACACCTTCTCGGCCTTTCAGGAATGGTGTCACACCTTCACACTTTTTGTGGTAGAAGTAAGACAGACAACCACACTTCCAGAAAGAAAGGTGAAACATGCAGGCTCAGTGAGTGAGTGAGAGAGAGAGAAAGAGTGTTTGTGTGTGTGCATATTATGTACGTTTGTCTATTGCGTTATTGGTCGGTGGATACACACACAGTACGTGTATGTACATTGTGTGTGTGTGTGTCTGTGTGCGGTTATGTGTATGCATGAATCTATGAACCCCATATGCTAGCTCTAATCATGCCTTACTTACAGCTCGCAGTGTGTGTGTGTGTGTGTGTGTGTGTGTCAGCATGCAACTACACAGAAAACCAATTAACTCCACCTTCCCTACGTTTTTTCTTTTTTTTTTTTACAACGCCAGCAATCTAAAAAGTTGTGGAGAGGGAAGAAAGCAGGGAGAAAAGGAGAGGTATGAGATGAAAGTGTAGTAGAATAATAGTGTCTAATAGCATGAAGCTAGGGAAACTGTGTTTATATCCCGCTGTGGCCCCATATATGATGAAACACGGGCTCAACACCCAAGTTTAGCCTCTCTAAAGCTTTGATAGCATTAAGGACTGTTGGTGCTGGAGGACAATGTCGATATGTTGCAATACTGTCTTGAGATTCTCTTATTTTTCCCTCTCTATCAGTGGTTTTCTCAAGTGTGGCACATCACCAAAGAGACAGCATGCGTGATCACTCGGACAAGGTCTTGCCCAAATTTGGTATGGTGAAGAAGAGTGAGTGAGTGAGTGAGTCAGCCAGACCCTCAC